ACTCAAGGGGCTGGGAGAGGGAGCCCAAACTGTTTGCTCAACCACTTTTTATAGAAATTCTCCAGTAAAAACATGACTCTGGGGAAAGGACTGTATTCTTGATATGACTAGAACAGATCTCATTAAATATAGTGTGGTTTAAAGACTTGCAATAGAAATGGACTCATGATTGCCAGTCAGCTTTCAGATTATGCAGTTAATGCTGTCTAACACCTCTGACCCTGCATTCAGAAGCAGTATCTGAGAAAGAGTTCTCAAAAGAAAATTATAACTTCCTGTACCATGGGAAGATGCTGCATGTGAAAGAGGTCTCAGTGCCCAGAGGTACTCTTAGGTTACTTAACACCTTTAGTAAATTGAAAAAAAAATTACATGCCTGGAGCTGATATAACATAGTAAAATACTACTCTGATCATGACAATAAACAGTAAATATCTACCATCAGATACTGTATTTAGCTGATGCCAAATTCGTCTATCAGAAAATTATCTTACATTCTTCCTTCCATCAATACCATTAATTGAAGTGATCTGTTAGAATGTCTTCAAAGGTAGCTCTACAATTTAACCTCACTGTTTAAAATGCCAAAATAAATAGCGATGGCAAGTCCAATGAGAATATCATTATGACTAATTCTACTTTCGTATCCCTAGATATAATGCAAGTCATTGCTTTGTTTTTACCTAAAATTTTGCTTCAAATTTTTGTATGTTCATTTGAATAGAGAAACAATGTATCACAGTTGTTGCTTTTTTAATATTTTAAATTCAATAAGCTTCCACATACAAAAGAATAAATTTGAGCCTCTGCCTCACACCATATATAAAAAGTAATCCATAATGAATCAAAGACCTACATGTAAGGGCCAAAACTATAAAATTCTCAGAAGGAAACAAGGGTAAAAATCTGTATGACCTTGGATTAAACAATGTTTTTATTGACATGTCACCAAAAGCATGTGCCACCAAAGAAAAATTGGTAAATTGAACTTTGTCAAAATTAAAACTTTTGTCAAAGGACACTATCAAGAAAGTGAAAAGAGAATCCACAAAATGAGCAAGAGAATTTTCAAATTATATATCATAGAAGGGGCTTGTGCCCAAAATATATGGAGAACTCTTATAACTCAACAATTAAAAAGCAACCCAATTTTAAAATATACAAAGGAAATGAAAAGTCATTTCTCCCAAGAACATATATAAGAAGCCAATAAGCATTTAAAAAGGTAATCAACATCATTAGTCATCAGCAAAAAAACAAATAAAAACTATAATAATATATCACTTCATACCCACTAGGATGCCTTAATTTTTTTTATAAAAAATAGGAGATTGTGAAGAAACTGAAACATTGCTGGAGAGAGTGTAAAATGATGCAATCGCTGTGGAACAGTTTGGCAGTTTCTCAAAAACTGAACATATGAGAATTACCGTATGACCCAGCAATTCCTTGGCATACAATTGAGAGAATTGAAAACATATGTGCACATAAATGTTGGCTGCAGCATTATTCATAATAGCTAAAAAGTGGAAACAACCCAAATATCCATCAGCTGAAGAATGAATAAGCAATATGTGATAAATCCATACAGTGGAACATAATTTAGTCATAAAAAAGATTAACCTTGAAAACATTATACTACCTGAAAGAAACTAGACATAAAATGTCATACATTACATAATTCTATTTATGTGAAATGTCCAGAATAGACAAATCCATAGGGATTGAAAATAGATTAGTGAGTGCCAGAAAATGGGAAAGTGGGGACTGAAACTAAGTGCTAAAGGGTGTGAAATATCTTATTGGGGGTATTGAAATGTTCTGCAAGTAGTGATGATGGTTGTACAATACAGTGAGTAAACTAAGAACCAATAAGTGTATACTTTAAAATGGTGAATTTTACATTATGTGAAGTATATCACTATAAAATATTTTAAATATGATTAACCATGCCATATTGTAAAGCTTTTTATAGAGAAAATACCATATATAGTAATAATTAAAAATGTCCCTTCTGTTCTACTTTTACCAAATTAGAATACTCTAAGAAATACTATATTATGTCCGAAAAAAATGTATTTATGATTAAGCAGTGCCTAAACTGTTATGCATCTTAGACAATCATTTTTAACACCTGAAACTTTCACATTCACATTAAGATGCAAGACCTTGGTTACCTGTGTATTTGAGGAGGTATCCTTCTCCAAATAAGAAGGATATCTAAGGCCTTAGAGAAATAATTGTGTATAATTATTCATAGTGTAACACAGTATCATAAACCACACACTGCCTCAATCTTTTTAGTTCATGAGATTTTAAATAAATCAGAAAATACCAAAGGGCACTGAACTGATGGAAATAATAATTGCCTACAACATGAAGATATAAATGTAGTAAACTGGGACTTAAGGAAATGAACATTCTCAAAATTCTCAGTTACACAGGGAACATTTTCTTAGAAGCAATGGGCATTTCATAGCTTTAAGAATGTTGATGATTTATTTTAACAAACAGATCACAATGTATCTCTGAATGAAGGACATGTTACTAGGAAAGGCATTTCAATTCATTTCAGGAAAACGTAATTTGTAAACACCAAAGGTACACCCAAATCAATCACTGTCAATTTAGTAATTTTATTTAAGAAAGGTAAAGTCCAGCCCTGACTGGTGTGGCTCAGTAGATTGAGTGTGGGCTACAAACCAAAGGGTCATTGTTTTGATTCCCAGTCAGGGCACACACCTGGGTTGCAGGCTGGGTCTCCAGTAGAGGATGCATGAGAGGCAACCATACATTGATATTTCTCTTCCTGTCTTTCTCCTTCCCTCCCCCTCCCTCTAAAAATAAATAAATAAGATTAAATAAAAAGAAAGGTAAAGTCCATTTTTAAATGGAGAAAATAACATGTATACCTTTATATATTTAAAAAGTTATGGCTTATACCATCAATTCATTAAAACTGTTCATAATATCCCCAATGTACTTTTAGGATAGCCAAGCCTATATAATTCCACCATAATGAACTAACTGCATTTCTCTGTTTTTAGATGTAAATCAGTGTGTCTTAAAAGACAAAATTTCTCTCATCATCTGATCAACCCTGACTTAGGGACAGAAGCTGAAGTTCCCAAAGCTATGAGTTTCAAAGCAATACATGTAACATGAAGTCCCAGAAGCCACTGGAGCACTCCCAGACACCTGTCTTGAGGTCACAAGGTTCTTATGCATCCTAGGTTGTGGGGAAAACAAATGTGGAATATTAGCCCATTTCCACAATCACAGAATTCTTATTTTTCTGTCACTTATTAAACTTCTGAAGCTCTAAATTCCACTCCCCTCCCTTTACATCTAAGGATAAAGCTAAAGGAAACTCTGAGTTTATAATGGGGCTTAGTTTTAAAGTATCTAAAAAATTTTATTGAAGTCAAGTTTGATCTTAAAGGACACAAAAAGGAAATTGGGACAGGGGGGCATCTTTCATAAATTAGATCACCAATAAACAGCTATTAGTTGATGGCATAAGACCTCTGACCTAAGTGAAAATAAAGGTCAGTTAATGACAACTTAACTATGCCATTTTTGTTTCAATGGTAAATAATTTTATGAAAAGCTGATGTATTGCAACATTTCTTTTCAAAATCCATATTTTTCTTTTTTAAAACTTTTAAAATATTTCATCTCAAATACTTTTTACTCAAATAAAAGTTATGAAAAACTGTCCTCAGAAACTCTCTAAAACTTATCATAAATTGTTAAGTCTCCTACAGTTATTTTGAGTGTCAAACCGTAACAGGCCAAGTCCTATAAACTATTACTAATCTGTAAAACTGTAAATCAATTAAGAAAATAAGAGTAGGAAATGGGCCTTCAGAGAGACTTCCTCTATCATGTTGCTTTTGCTTATTTTTTTCACTCGCTATTTAATGCCACATGAGATGGTCTGCATTAGTTCACAGCTCCCTCCCTATTCCCACAGAACTTCTGTAAATGGGAAGTGACAATGGCAACACATCAAAGGCTAAAATATGAATAGAAAACCTCTTTTACATAAAAATATAATTTTATTCTTTTTTGTTAAAATACCAGCTAATTTCCTGACTTGTGTATAACAGATTGTTGCTTAAGTGAAATACATAAGGGAACATATTTTACATAGTAAAAAGGAATTATAGCAAATAAATCCAAAATGTGAATGGAAATTTAACTAACTTGTGGTTAGGAAACACTTTCTTTTTCTAAATAAGACTAGGTTGCATTGTCTTAAACAGGAAAACCTTTTAAAAGTAAGATATAATATTAAGATATCATCACATAGAAACTTAAAGAGTTGGGGGAAAATCATGTAATTATTTATACTCAATATTTTTGTGTTCACCAACATGCAATAAGATATCACTGTAAAGCTCTATTATCAATAAGGCATGGCTAAAATAAAAAATTTGATAATTAAGTTTTATAGGTAATGAAGTAAAAAAATACTTGAGATTTTTTACTATATAAAGGGGATAAGAATATTTTTTATCTTGCTTGGCTATGGCCTCTATTACTATAAATAACAAATATTCTATGCACCTTTGTAATATGCCAAACTCAATTTTCAGGCTTCAACTTTATAATTTAATGTTCTAAAAATGTTAACACACATAAAATGATACATGTACAAATGCATGTACAATAATCTGTATTATAAAAATGTTTCATTGGAAAAGAGATTTCTATATATTATTCTTTTAATAAATATCAAAGCTCATAAAATGTAATATTTATTTGTAGTACAGGAAGTCTATAATACAAGTTTATTTCTTTCCTCCCTACATCAATGCTAGATAGAGTTTTACTATACACATACATGCATAGACTCATATACATACAAAAAGTTAACATATATATTTACTTTTCAATTTGTAAGGACAAATTTACATATGATATCCATTAATATATCAGAAAGAGTTAGACAATGACTATTTTCAATGACACATAAAGTTCATCATCCTACTTACTGCTGAAGAGCCCAATGCAGATTTTGGAGACCTAATCATTCCAGCAATTGAATGACGAATAGATTCAAATTTGGATAGCCTCTCCTTCCTTTCCTGGAGAGAGTAAGAAAGAAGCCTTCAGCAACAGTAAATATCTAGTATGCATACACAGTGATGCAGGTGTTTACATACTGATCCATAGCTCATGCCCATCTATCATGTCTTCCAACCAAATAAAATGCAAACTTCTTGACATGGAAGATGACAAAAAACCAAATGCATATAAACTCTGTAATATGTTACTTTCCTGTTCCCTCAATACATGTCTTAATTGGAGAAAAATAAAAGAGGCAAAAACTCATGAGATGAGTGGAAACAAGAAATACAAAAGAAATTCGCAACAAACCAAATAAATATTAACATGCAGGGAAAAAAAGACAAGCTACAAAAAAACAGATTTCAGATAGCACTGTAGTTGTGCAGGATTTTCAAGGAAAAAAATAATTGGGAAAAAACAGGAGGAAAATTATATACAACATATTTTTAGACAGTGAAGTAGGTAGGAAGTTTCCCAAAGACTCACATGATGATGATGAGGAAGAGGATGACAATACCTACAGCAATGATGACAACAGAAGACAGAGTAAAATAAGGAAACAGTGGCAGAACTACCACTAAGGAAAAGTCAACCCAGATTGCTGTTTGCCATAGGATGTATATCTAAGTATCATACACGGCAAAGGAACCTTTTTATTAAGATTTCAAATCTGTAGATTCATTTTTACAAATGCAAGTGAATGAGGTAAGTAACAGGGTAGAAAAAAAAAGAAGAAGAACAAAAATGAGCACTAGGAGGTAAGAAAAAGAATGATGGAAAGCATGTGTGAGGGTTTGTAGTGAAAGCATTGGTAAATTTTCCAATAATGACTACATTTCACCGTTAATCAGCAGCAGACAAAAGAACATGATATCCTATTGCCAAGTACTGTATTTCCATACTTTCCATCAGCAGTGATGATCAATTTTACTAGTCAGTGGAAAATAACTAAAGCAGGCCACAAATCACATCTATTATTTCCTATGTATCCAACACAGTGTATATCATAAATGTTCACATTTTGGGCCATATGCTACCTAATAAACTCAAACTCAAACTCAAACCTGAAATTCCACTTTTGTCTCTCCATTTACCTATTTTTACTTATTTACTTTTCTAACAGTTATAGTACTAACAGTTTTTATTATTCCACAAATAAATGTATATTAATAATTAAAACAATCCTATGATACTCTAACAGATAATCTCAACATCTTTTTCATCATCATCACATATAACTTGCTGATGATCCTATGTAAATAACTATACTTCAACTCGAACATCTAGAGAACAAAAAAATTACAAACCTTCCTCAGAGGGTAATTACAAGTAAATTATTACAAATGATTAAAAAGTAACATGTTAAAAGCATGCAAATATTTATTTAAATGACTTTAAAGAAATATATCTTCACTGCAGTACCCATGATCATCACCTTAGGAATATGAGCGTGCATCCTGTAGCCTTAGTCCTAGCAGCAGCTTCAGTTTTGCCTTTTAATAAAAACTACTTTAATAAATAGCTGAGCTACCAGAAATGCCGGAGCAAAGACAGCCTTGAAGTACTAAAGGGGTGTAGTGGCCTTTCTTTAAAGCATGTTCATCTTCAACTTGGGTGTTTCGGGTTGTTTTTAAATCTATGTCTGGTGCTTGAGAAGTCTTCTAAAATAAAAACGTTTGGGAAGGTAAACATTCTTACCAGCCAGGCTGTGGATAATGAAAGAGCAGGAAGCAAGGCATACACAGCAGTTTCTTTGTAATTAGAATTATGAAGAAATTTGTGATGTAAAGTACACATGTTGGAAAATACTAAAGTAGCTATAATTTTCTACTCCCCAGCCCAACTTACACTTTTTCATATTCCTTTGGGGATTTCTCCCCCTGACCCTGTGTGGTTGTGGAGGTGGCAGTGGTGTTAGCAGTAGTGACACTACTGCTGATCTTGCTGGTACCTACCACTGATGGGGGGATGACATGAAAGTGCTAACCTCACCTGCTTGGCAATGAAAGCTTCACAGCAAAACAGTAGGCTTCTCCTCAGCAATGCTCTTAAAATGATAGACAAATATGGTCCCAATGTATGAATACCAAGATAACAGAGCAGAAAACATGGGAGGTTATGTACAAAAGTACAAAATTCAGGGGAGAGTTTTCAGAATTTGAAAGCAGACTTCCAGCCAAGATGGAGGCGTAGATAGACCCACTGTGCCTCCTCAGAGAACCAAAATAAGGTCAGCAATAATTTAGAAACAAGATAACAACCAGATCTGACAGAAAATTGAACTGGATGGAAGTCGGACAACCAAGGAGTTAAAATATACACATTCATCCAGACTGGTAGGAGGAGGGAGTTGGGCAGCCAGGGAATGAGGGTTCGGCACTAAGAGCAGTGAGACCGGGTGCGTAAGGCATCCTGAGAGCCCAGGTGGCTGGCAGACCCAGCGAGGTGGTGACTGTGAAGCGAGGCAGTGCGCGCAAGGCACCTGGCTATCTGGGCCATATTCGCATACAGATAAACCAGGCAAAATTGGGCAGTAAGACAGACTGCACAACCCAGGGTCCCAGCGCCGGGAAATAGAACCTCGGGACACTGATTGAAAACACCTGTGGGGGTTGAGGTGCAGGGAGAGACACCCAGCCTCCCAGGAGAGTGCACTGGAGAGACCCACGGGGTTCCATAATGTACACAAGCCCACCCACACGGGAATTAGCACCAGAAGGGCCCAGTTTGCTCGTGGGAAGTGGCAGAAGGGACTGAAATCCGACGGAGAAAGGAGCAAGCACCATTGTTTCCTCTCGATCCTGACCCCACATACAGTGTCACATCCCAGTGACTGGGTTGCCCCGCCTTGGAAAATACCTAAGGCTCCACCCCTCACTATGTAACAGGCGTGACCAGACCAAAAAAAAAAAAAACAAAAAACAAAAAACATGACTTCAACCGAAGTACAAATCAAAGCCCCAGAGCCAATTCTTTTAAGCGACGAAGAGATAGCCAACCTATCAGATGCACAGTTCAAAGCACTGGTGATCAGGGTGCTCACAGAAGTGGTTGAATCTGGTCACAAATTACATGAAAAAATGAAGGCTACAATAAGAGAAATGAAGGAAAATGCACAGGGAACCAATAGTGATGGGAAGGAAACTGGGACTCAAAACAATAGAGTGGACCAGAAGAAAGAAAGAAACAATCAAACAGAAAAGAATGAAGAAATAAGAATTCAAAAAAATGAGGAGAAGCTTAGGAATCTCCAGGAAATCTTTAAACATTCCAACATCCAAATTATAGGGGTACCAGAAGGGGAAGAGGAAGAGCAACAAGTGGAAAAGTTATTTGAACAAATAATAAAGGAGAACTTCCCCAATCTGGCAAAAGAAATAGACTTCCAGGAAGTCCAGGAAGCTCAGAGAGTCCCAAAGAAGTTGGACCCAAGGAAGAACACACCAAGGCACATCATAATTACATTAGCCAAGGTAAAAATGAAGAAGAGAATCCTAGAAGCAGCAAGAGATTAAGGGGACAGTAACTTACAAAGGAGTTCCCATTAGACTGTCAGCTGATTTCTCAAAATCACCAAGCCTTTATTTTATGAAATGTTAAAGGGACTTATCTAAGAAAAAGAAGATAAAAAACATGTATAGTAAAATGGCAGCAAAGTCACAATTATGAACAACCACACCCAAAACAAAAACAAACTAAGAAATCAACTAGAACAGGAACAGAACCACCGAAATAGAGATCATATGAAGGGTTAGCAACAGGGGAGTGGGAGGAGAGAGGGGGAAAAGGTACAGAGAATAAGTAGCATAGATGGTAGGTAGAAAATAGACAGGGAGGGTAAGCATAGTATGGGAAATGTAGAAGCTAAAGAAATTATGACACATGGACATGAACTAAAGGGGGGGAATGTGGGTGGGAGAGGGTAAGCAGGGTAGAGGGGAGTGAAGGGGGAAAATGGGACAACTGTAATAGCATAATCAATAAAATATATTTTTTTAAAATTCAAAAGCATTTTATTTATGTATGACTTAACAGTTCACTGAGAGGGTAAAAATAACTTTCCTAAAGCTACACCTTACCATCAAAGCCTACAAAAGAGAACCATTTCCCCTAAGACACTTTGATAATATCAAATAAAAAAACTTCTTTAAAATATTTTTATTTATTTTTTTAGAGGGAGGGGAAAGGAGGGAGAAGGAGAGGGGCAGAAACATCAATATGAGGTTGCCTCTCATGTGCCTCCACCAGGAACCTGGCCTGCAACCCAGGCATGTGCCCTGACTGGGAATCGAACCAGCAACCCTTCGGTTTGCAGGTCAGCACTCAATCCACTGAGCCATACCAGCCAGGGCAAAACATTTTCTTAAGAATGTAACATTAGGTAAGTCTAGTATAAATCCAGGTGTGGGATAGACAAGACTTCAAAAATCACTTCCTTTATATTAAATTATGAAGTATAATATATTGCATATTTGAGAGGCTACAATTAATGAAAGTTCCCTTTCATTCAAAGATACTCTTTAAATCAGTTGGTCTAAATGTATTATCAGAAAAAAAAAGTCAACCTTAAGTTTTAGGCAAGAATAATCACGTGTAAATAGAGTATACAAAACAATTTAACCACTATCAGCTCATGTGATGCCTGTATTTCTACAAATAAGACATAAAACTCATTTGCCAAAGCTCCAGTCTACACAGCTTTTCAAATCTGCTTTAAATTATAGCCTACATAATAATACATCATGCTGTGTTAAATTCACTGAAAGGCTGACTTTTCTATCAGTGAATTAAATGGTATTTTTTAAAAAGTTAATATTTAAAAGTTTCCTTTCAATTGCCATGGATACAGTGCCTAAGTTTGCCTGTAGACCTGCTCCAGCTGGTAATGATGCACTCATCTTACCCTCCTCACATATTGGCAATGTAAAGAACTTTCTCTAGATTAAGGAGAAACAAGTTATGACAAAAGGACAGCCCCTCAGAGTGGACATATCCGGGGGCCAGAGAAGGGGGAAAG